GGGCGCCCGGTGCAGGTCCGCCGCGGGGAGCGACCCCGGCAAACCCTGCTGAGTCCTCGTTGCCTGGTAAACGGTGCTCGGCTGAGATCTGCAGAGTATCTTAGAACTAAACCAAATAAAACCCACTCCAGTATCTTTGGTTTGGTTTAGATTGGGTTTGTGATTTTTTTTTTTTCTTCCCAGTAATCAGAGTGAACTTGGAAGTGCTTTGGTTTGGTTTGCAGACTGGCTTTATACGTGTTCTTTCAAGAACTGCTTTATTTTTCATTTTATTCCAGGCAGCGTCCCTTCTCTAGCAGCTGGTCTTCTCTTTGGTGGCTTAGCAGGACTAGGTGCCTACCAGCAGTCCAAAGATCCGAAGAATGTGTGGCTTTCCCTCGGTAAGTTTGCTTGGCACCCAAGTACTAAGCATTACTGGTAGCAACGGGAAGAGTAACCTTTTTTCAGCATGTTTCAGCCTACCAGTGCCCTTTTATTTATACAAATGTTGTAAGCGGTGGCAGGACCTCCTGCCCATAGCCAGGAGGTATTTGTGTAAGAGCCCGCTAGCTGGTTCTAAGACCTAGGTTGTCTTTCTGGAAGCCAGAGTTGGTGAGAAATACCTATATCCTCTGCCAGATGAGATATGGTGTTAAACTAATGTAGGCACGGGAAAGGTACGTGAGAAATGTTTGGTTGTGAAGCAGCATTTTTAGTCTACAGTCATGGAATAGGCATTTTAGCAACAGTGAAAGCACTGCGACAAGCAGTATGTGGCTTTATGTAATACTGGTTTGCACAAGCAAACTGGAAGAAGAGCAGTATATGTTTTAATGCATCATATGCTGTGGAAGAAACAGTCTGAAGTATATAAAAGAAAGGAGGGAGCAATCTATTCTCCTTGCTTATGGTAGATGGGACAAAAAGTTGTGGGCTTAGCTTGCAGTTAACCCTTCACGTGAAGGAGAAGGATAAAATGACAGTGGAAAGTATTATGAACCACTGGAAGAGATCTGGTGAATGTCAGGGACTTTCATCACTGCAGGACTTTAATAATTGGTTAGACCAGTATCTGTCAGGAATTGATCTTGCTTTTGGGCACTAGGTTAGCCTAGATGACCTCCTGAGGTTCCTTCTAGTTCTGTAAGTATGCCATAGTAGTATTAGCTTTACGATACTCTATCATTACAGTGATTTAAGACTTCCTTAAAATGGGACTTGATCACGTCACATGCTGAAAGGCTTTATGAAACCCGTGGTAGATACTGCAGATGACCAAACTGCCTTCTCAGTAAGGAATGAAATGTACAACACAGCTCAGTCAAAAGCAAAGTTTTCACTTGTGAACTTTCTCTTCCACTCTGGCATGCTGTGGGAGTGGCTGTGTATCTTTGGCAGGAGTTTTTAGGAAGTGCCATGACAGAAAAATGAGCAGCTTCCTTATATGCTGATGTGGTGCACAGGGTGCTTTCAAGCGGACCTCTTGAAAGTGGTGTTGTGTCCCCGTCTAGTATAACTCTTTATTCATCCATTCCTCCTCAGCCCTGTTGCCACATGCAGTTGCGACTCCTGATGAGCTTTAGGTTGATCACAGCATATCAGGGGTAGAAATGAGGAAAAAGAACCTTGACAGAATTATCTTCAGGATCCATTTTGCCCTGTTTGATGCAAACAAACTTGAAGCTTTGGAGAAAGGTATACAACACCTCCACCTGCCTTTCTTCTTCGAAGAAACAATGGCCCTGTAACTTTTATGTGAATATTGATAGGATTTTTTTTTTTCCAGATTTAGAGATTAAATAACTTGCAATAATGTTTAAAATGCTAGTTGCTCTTTCAGTTTGGTCCCTTAGATTGCTTTCTGTTTACTAATTTGTATTTTCACATGGGGTTGGTTTATTTCTAGTTGTAGTATTTAGTGTCACCTTCCCGTTCAGAATGTCACCAAGAAATGGGAACTGTAATAATATTTGCCTCCCACAAAGTGAACTTTGTCACCAACCCAGTTTTCTGGCAGTTTTAAGTCTGTCTGTATTCAAGAAAATAATAATTCTTCAGCAAATAAGGAGAAACTGAGGGATAGTTAGTGATCTGCCCAGAGGATTCGAGGTTGTAGGCGATTAGACAGTGGTCTCAACCCTGATGACATCTACTCACTTCTACTGAGCAGTGGAGCATGCTTACCAAAGCTGCCGAGAAGCATGCAGCAGGTCTGCTGTTTAAGGAAAAGCACGTAAAATGTTTGCGTACGCTTCCTTGCGGCGAGGAGGGAGGCGTTCCTCTCAGTAGGCATAGGCCTGTTCGGTTGGGACTGCTGCACATCCAAGCCTTGCAGTGCAGCACTGGTGTTTCCATTTGAAATAGATCTGACCGGGCTTCTTTTCAACAGTGGCCTCTGGAACCTTGTCTGCTGTTATGGGAATGAGATTTTACAACTCCAAAAAAGCAATGCCTGGGATAATTGCTGGTGCCAGGTAGTCGCCTGTCTTCTATTCTTGTCTGCAGTTTTGAGTAAGCATTTTATTTAACTTATATTTGGATTATGTTGTTTTAAAAATGTTACATGGTAAGTTCTGTGAAAAATGTAATCTTATGGTGGAGTTCAGCTAAATGAAATCACGTCAATGTTTTCTTCCTTCTTTATGGGATTTTTTGCTTCCCTCTTTTTTTTTTTTTTTTTGATAACAACTGTTCTGTTCAACAGTTTACTGATGGTTGGACGGCTTGGATTGCAGATCATGGAAAAGCCTCTTAAGCCATAAGTCTGCATCAAATCACTTGAAGATATGTGAATGAGAAGCCTGAAAATGCAACTGCCTAAATGTGCTACACAAAGGTGGAAAAGGCACTGCTGTCTGTGCATTGTATTTTTAATATCCTAACGCATCTGGGTTGTGTTTTTAAAGGACCGACATTCAGAGCCCTTGTTACGTCTTCCAAAATGGTGTTTGTCTTAACATTTTCTGCACTGTGAAGCAAGAAAATACAAGTACAGCATTTAGTTTAGCTTCTGGCCCTGCAACTTACTGTAGGTAAAGACCTCTTGGCATTTGCATACAGACAAGTTGCAGGACTGAAGCTTAAATGTACATCTGGACTTGCCATCCTAAAATCATCTATACCTCTAAAACAAGGGGAGAGGAGTTGCCAATTTGGCACTAGTAATTCATGTAACAAACATGCTTATTATGTTACCTCTCCCCTTCCACTTCCCTGCCAGTTTATCCGGTCATTATGTTTGTCAGTCAGGGACTTTGTTCTCCCAGTACTGTGCATTAGAACCTGGTCCCACAAAACACAATCACGGAGCAGGCCGTCAAGGTTCTGCTGTAATGCAATGAATGCAAACCTGTTACTTGCCATTACTTGTAACCAAAAGTGCCCAGCTAAATGTCATTCGTTTCACTTTTACAGATTATTATTCATAAATCAAAAATATGCTTTATTAGATAATGATGAATTGTAGGCATAGCTCTTGCATTTAATGAGAATTAAAATGTTATTCTAAATAAACCAACAAATTATTATTACAAAATTTTGTGTTCTACACAACTATTTTATTCTTCTTTATTCATTCATCTGGATTGATACAGTTTTGTACCTTTTCTGCAGGGTGTCTGGATATTTTTGTGAACATGGATTATACAAATTATCTCTATTTCATTCTCTGAACCTAGTGACTTGTAAATATAAAAATCCCATGAACTGGGAGGAAACGTAGATAACAAAAGCATACAGACCATATATTCAGACAAGCGTTACATTAAAATCTTTTTTTTCCCTGAGAGGAATCTTCTATTTCAGATTTGAAAAATGCTTTGTGAAAGTTTATTTAAAGACTGAAGGGCTCAGTTGATGAGTTTCTGTTCTCAGTTGATTCCTTTGATGCCTGAAATAGTTCTAAATATAAACCTGCCATGCGAAAGTAACCCTGGGAGCTATAGGTGGATGGCAACATATCCCTTTTCTGGTCTCACTTAACTTCTGTCCCTTTCTGCACAGATCCTGAGCTTCAATTTCCTCAACCTTTCTTCTTTGGTGGCAGGTGCTGTGAGAGATGGAAGCAGTGGGCTTGATCCATTAGCTTGGTGAGACTCTGGAGTTGTTCTCTAAATATCAGGCTAGAACTTTAGCAGGAGGGTGACGTCTCATCGTCTTCCTTCCCTCCTTCCTTGTGGCAGGAGGCGCAGAGCTGGTCCGGTGGCAGCGGCCGTGGTTTGCCAGGCAGGCCACAGCAACGAGGGCAGGGCTGCGGTCAAGCCAGGATGCCAAGCTGGCAGTTGGGTTGCAGATCAGCGGGGACACAGCCAGGCACGGGCACAGCTGCCATACAGCTCTGGCAAGAGCATCGACATCACTGCAGCTACAAGAGCAAAGGGGCCGGGCCGCTGCTTCTCGCAGCCCTGTTGCTGGTGGCCCGGTCCCAGGCCGCACGGCTTGGGTCAGAGCTGGCTTGAGCACAGGCAGCGAGAGCTTTTGAGGGGGAACTGTACTCGGGGCACCTTCCTAGAGGCTTTGTTCATCAACCTGCAGAGTTCAGCTCCAGGTGCTCACCCAAATTGACTTTTTCTTCTTGCCTCCCTGCACAGAAACAAGGGCTGAGCAGGACAGCAGCTGGTTTGTGCCTAATCCCAGGCCATGGACCCAGCTTGGTAGGCAAATGTCTGAATGTCTTTGCTCTCCCTTGAAAAGGTTAATAAGCCAGACATTAGCATTTAAGACACTTCTCTGTGTACGAGTCATTTGCCTCTTCATATTGCTTTTGAAGCAGTTAGTTAGCTTCTGTGGAAGTAAGGTACGAGCATACATGCATCTCCTGCAATAAATTGAAAACAGCCACAATCCAGCAGTTTTCTACTTGTATAATACTGGTCTCAAATCAGGTAACTTGCAAATTTGGGCTGCAATTGTCCTTTAATGGAATAAAGACAATAGAAAGCAGGGAACTAGACTGATAAACTTATGAACTCTTAGACCAAAGTGTTAAGCCTTCCTGCTTTTTCATGAGCTTTGGGAAAGCAGTAGCTCGAATTGAGAACTGGTGGTAGAACTCTGGTTACCACTAGTAATCTAAACAAAGGGAGGAGAGAAAAGCTTGAGCCTTACATACTTTTTACCCGCTTGGAACTTTTTGAGTATATACTAAATTTCTTAAGCATTAGATGGTATTTCTGCACTAACAGTTCAATGTGTATCGAAGAATCTGAGTTAAAATGACTGTACAAAGCCTGCTGGCTTCTTGTTACTGTTTTTCCTTGCTGTTTGCAAGAGAACTTCTTAACAGTTGTCATGCTTTGATTATGGACAAGTAAAGGCTGTTATGGTTATGTCGAAGCAGTTTCAGTGTTCATTAGCACATGGTAAGGACAGCATATTTCTTCTAGCCATATTTAGTATCTTAAATAGTACCTATGTGTTTTTCTGCTCTAGGTGACTTACGGACATGTGAGCTATGGACTCATTATTAGTTAATTCCATGACCAGACTGTGATTTTAACTAAGTCACTAGCATCTTGTACTAGAGATGAGCAATTCACTTCTCTTGTTTTTTAATTATAAAACCAGTGCATTTATGCATATTCTGGAAAGTCTGAGGTTGTCCTTTGTTGCCATGGCCATTTACAGATATATTCTACAGATAAATTAAGATGCATTTAAATAGCATAGGGACTTATGTTAGTACTAAGAGAATGACAAATACTTAAGCATAGACCAATGGCAGCTGAATTAAAATCTCTAGTGCATTACTAACTAGATATCCCTATCACTATATAGCTCTTCCAGTATTAAAGTGGCATTTTCTTTAGGTGCAGTTTTCATAACAAAATACTTGACTTTTTAGTACAACTGTTTCAGATTAAATTGACTTCCAGTAAGTTAATGTAACCCATATATTATGGCACATTAGGGCAGTAACGAATTAAAATTTTTATATACAGTTATAAAAGACATACAAATACATTTCTGTTTTACAGTGCTTAAAAGTAATCATTAACAGCTTTACATCTTTAAAGAACATACTCATTTTGTACTTTAAAATGGCAGGTTTAATGTAACTACTAAGTCTAAAGCATCTCTTCTACATGGAGCTGTTAACAGAAGCAGCTTAGATCAACATCCTAGAAACAATTTATTGTATGTTGCAAGGTCCTTTGTGGGATATTATTATAAAACTTAGCATAGAAGCCAGGGAAAGTACTGAATGAGCATATAAACAGTGAGGCATTGTTAAAGTTTGTGTGTGTTTTCAGGTACTTAAGTTGGCCTTTAAGATCTAAACCAGAAAGCAACATCTTTGAAGAACAGCCCAATATCCTCCCTCATGTAGCGTATTCAACTTCTGTAGTTTAGTTTGCTCACTCAATAAAGACATGTAGAAACATGAGTTTACTGACAATTTATGCCTTTTTGGCTAATTCACCCTTAAAATGACTGACAGACTGCAGAGATTCAGGGTCCTTAAAATATCACTGCGACACTCCCTTGATAGGACAGATATAAATCTCCACCGATCTTTGACCAAAAATGGTCATAAGTTAATTATAACAGTAGAATCTAATTTTTAGGCTTCACTACAGCTTGGTGAGGTAAATCTAGCTTTCATTACTAGTTTAGCCATTTTCCAATATTGCTGTATCATTCTGTAGCCATATATGGGCCAAGTTTTTAGACCCGCCTTGTGTAGGAGTTACTGGTGGATTGCTTATGTCCTGCTACAAGGATTTAAGTTCTCATTGCTATTACAGATACTGGCATGTTACAGACCCTAAGTATCACTTGGGTACAAGCTCTGCTTTAGCCCTGCTTCTGGCTGCTTGTGTAGAGGAAAGCAAGCATATGCTAATAGTGGACACTGCATTGGGGGAACAACCATAACAGCTGTTTCAGGAATACGATAATAGGAGATCCATCTATAGAAAAATGTCACGCAAAACCTACTTCTCAGCAGTTTTGGCAATGTGTGTTGTACAATACTTCAACAAATCCTTCTTTATAGCCAGTATTTTACATGGTATTATATGTATTAAGTTTTCTTCCACAAGTAATAGAACAGAAGGTCTTTCTTTTTCTTTACTATTGCATAGTCTTAGGAAAAGGTAGAGCAAATAGGCATTTCAGGTTTCCAGTGCAGGAGAACTGAACACAGGTCACATAATATCTATACAGGATGGCATTTTCTATTTGTTTCCTCCATATTTGGCCACCCAGTCTGTTCTTCCATGTACTGGCTGAATTGTTGGTGGGCGGGTTAAAATATTCATGTTTTTTGCTGCTGAATTGAAAGTAGGACTTGGTAACTGAGCACGAGGAGCTTTGGTTTTCCAGGAATAATCTGAAAGGAACAAGAACTCAGAATTAATTATGACTTAAAAGGTATTTCACTCCTTTACAGATAAAAGAATGCGAGCTTAGAGATGACTTGCGATACTCAAGGATGCTAACACAGCAGGATGCTTTGGTCTCTGATACGCTGTCTATGCTTGCTTTCAGATAAGGTTAATGTTTCCTACAGTTCCTCTATCTTACTAGTAATTCTCATCTACTGGATACTTGTTTTGCAGCAATCCCTTGAGAAAACATTCAGGCTGAAATTCAGTGGAAAAACCAATGTGTATGTCTACAACTCTGTATCTCCTGTTGCAAAACTGCTACAAGAATGGAAGTGTTCTTTCTTCTATCTCAGCTTTTGAAAAAGCATGTAATTATAACATTGATAAACTTACTAAGATCCAAACAGGCTAGACCGAAGGACAGCTTCTGGAGACCCTCTTGTTCCTTTCAAGATTTTATGCCTTTTATTCCTCTCCTGCTTAGCTGAGAACTCCTGGTGTACCTGGTGGCAAGTTCTCTTCATCGCCATTTCCCATTTCTCTATTGATTGCATAGGATCTGTTCCAAGTCCCCGGGTTCTTTTATCCCTTAATATTGGCATCCACCTGGTTGCAGGCACTGGGAGTAGTGCACTACTGTATTCCTGGCCTTCCGACTCAGATTTCCCCTTTCTGCATTTGAGATAGTTACTGCTTCCCCAAGTTTCATGTGATTAAAGTAGTTGCCCTGCTGCAGGGGCTGACAGCTCATGGTTTTCTTCATGTTCGTCACCAATTCTGCCACTTTCCCAAGTC